AAATCTATTCCTTTGACTGGTTTCGTGTCCAGGCAATTCGCAGGCAACGGACAATTAAGAGAGAAGCCCAGTTAAGCCAATTGGTCACTGGTTCATTAACAGCGGTATTGATATTTTTTTCCCCATATCAATAGTTATATCAACTAGTATGTTGATAAACTGGGATTTTCGAGTCGATTTAGAATGGGAGATTTTTGTCACGTGTCTGTAGCTATGCAACCCGTTCTCGCAAATTTGTAAAGTCAATATTGACTTATTATGTCACCTATGCACGTAGTTAATAAGTCAATATTGACTTATTAAATTTGCGAGAACGGGTTGAGCTATAGTTTGAGTCGAGATATGACGGGACGAACCAGGAGGATACAAATCTATGAATTAGTTTGTAGTGTTCATTAGTTCACCTGTGCTACCTAGTTAGTTCACCTGTGCTACCTGGTTAGTTCACCTGTGCTACCTGGCTAGTTCACCTGTGCTACCTGGCTAATTCACCTGTGCTACCTGGTTAGTTCACCTGTGCTACCTGGCTAGTTCACCTGTGCTACCTGGCTAGTTCACTTGTGCTACCTGGTTAGTTCACCTGTGCTACCTGGTTAGTTCACCTGTGCTACCTGGCTAGTTCACCTGTGCTACCTGGTTAGTTCACCTGTGCTACCTGGCTAGTTCACCTGTGCTACCTAGTTAGTTCACCTGTGCTACCTGGTTAGTTCACCTGTGCTACCTAGTTAGTTCACCTGTGCTACCTGGCTAGTTCACCTGTGCTACCTGGCTAGTTCACCTGTGCTACCTGGCTAGTTCACCTGTGCTACCTGGCTAGTTCACCTGTGCTACCTGGCTAGTTCACCTGTGCTACCTGGCTAGTTCACCTGTGCTACCTGGCTAGTTCACCTGTGCTACCTGGTTAGTTCACCTGTGCTACCTGGTTAGTTCACCTGTGCTACTTGGCTAGTTCACCTGTGCTACCTGGCTAGTTCACCTGTGCGGGGTAACCCCCAACCTCTGGAAGGTTATTAGGGGCCTCTACAATAGCCTACTGATCAGCCAGCAAGTACAATGCAGGTCGGCGTTCAATCCCCGACCGTCTAGCAAGTGGTTGGGCACCATTCCTTTCCCCCATCCCATCTCAAACTCTTATCCTGACCCCTCCCAGGTGCTATATTGTTGTAATGACTTGGCGCTTTCTCCAGTTGCTCCCACCCTCTTAGTGATGTTCCAAAGAAGGTTTGAAGTCTCAGTTGAACACCAGTTAGGTATACATATGAGATCCTTCCTTAGCGAGTCGTCCATAAGAACACAAATCAGCAGAAGTACTGGTTCGTGTTTTATGGTCCCCGGTTTGAGGCTCCGATGATCCTTGCAAAGACGGGATCCTATTATTTGACGGGAGTTTCGAACCCGTCCTCAGGCCAGGCTCGTTACAGGGACAGCCGCCGTCTACTCCAGACACATTCATCAGTTTTAACATAATGTTTATGTTAATAAACATAAACAATTATTAATGCACGTGCATGTCCAAATTCAACAGTACCGATTAATACTTTCAAAATTGCGTTGAACGTCGGTATATATACAATAATCCTAATATTTTCAATAAGTACTGCAATAAGTACTTATTGCAGCACTTATACTAAAGTACTAAAGTAAGTACTTCAATAAGTACTAAATTTAGCCCAATAGGTATGGGGTAAATTTAGCAATATCTGGTTCATTAATTGATCTAGCCCAAGATACTAGATTAAAGTGTCACCCATCACTCTAGTCTACCCATAACGTGTCACCCATCACTCTAGTCTACCCATAAAGTGTCACCCGTCACTCTAGTCTACCCATAACGTGTCACCCATCACTCTAGTCTACCCATAAAGTGTCACCCGTCACTCTAGTCTACCCATAACGTGTCACCCATCACTCTAGTCTACCCATAAAGTGTCACCCGTCACTCTAGTCTACCCATAAAGTGTCACCCGTCACTCTAGTCTACCCATAAAGTGTCACCCGTCACTCTAGTCTACCCATAAAGTGTCACCCGTCACTCTAGTCTACCCATAAAGTGTCACCCGTCACCTCTAGTCTACACATAAAGTGTCACCCGTCACCTCTAGTCTACCCTTAAAGTGTCACCCATCACTCTAGTCTACCCATAAAGTGTCACCCGTCACTCTAGTCTACCCATAAAGTGTCACCCGTCACTCTAGTCTACCCATAAAGTGTCACCCGTCACTCTAGTCTACCCATAAAGTGTCACCCGTCACCTCTAGTCTACCCATAAAGTGTCACCCGTCACCTCTAGTCTACCCATAACGTGTCACCCGTCACCTCTAGTCTACCCATAAAGTGTCACCCGTCACTCTAGTCTACCCATAACGTGTCACCCGTCACTCTAGTCTACCCATAACGTGTCACCCGTCACTCTAGTCTACCCATAACGTGTCACCCGTCACCTCTAGTCTACCCATAAAGTGTCACCCGTCACCTCTAGTCTACCCATAAAGTGTCACCCGTCACTCTAGTCTACCCATAAAGTGTCACCCGTCACTCTAGTCTACCCATAAAGTGTCACCCGTCACCTCTAGTCTACCCATAAAGTGTCACCCGTCACCTCTAGTCTACCCATAAAGTGTCACCCGTCACTCTAGTCTACCCATAAAGTGTCACCCGTCACTCTAGTCTACCCATAAAGTGTCACCCGTCACCTCTAGTCTACCCATAACGTGTCACCCGTCACCTCTAGTCTACCCATAAAGTGTCACCCGTCACTCTAGTCTACCCATAAAGTGTCACCCGTCACTCTAGTCTACCCATAACGTGTCACCCGTCACTCTAGTCTACCCATAAAGTGTCACCCGTCACCTCTAGTCTACCCATAAAGTGTCACCCGTCACCTCTAGTCTACCCATAAAGTGTCACCCGTCACCTCTAGTCTACCCATAAAGTGTCACCGTCACTCTAGTCTACCCATAAAGTGTCACCCGTCACTCTAGTCTACTCATAAAGTGTCACCCGTCACTCTAGTCTACCCATAAAGTGTCACCCGTCACTCTAGTCTACTCATAAAGTGTCACCCGTCACTCTAGTCTACCCATAAAGTGTCACCCGTCACTCTAGTCTACCCATAACGTGTCACCCGTCACTCTAGTCTACCCATAAAGTGTCACCCGTCACTCTAGTCTACCCATAAAGTGTCACCCGTCACTCTAGTCTACCCATAAAGTGTCACCCGTCACTCTAGTCTACCCATAAAGTGTCACCCGTCACTCTAGTCTACCCATAAAGTGTCACCCGTCACTCTAGTCTACCCATAAAGGGTCACCCGTCACTCTAGTCTACCCATAAAGTGTCACCCGTCACTCTAGTCTACCCATAACGTGTCACCCGTCACTCTAGTCTACCCATAAAGTGTCACCCGTCACTCTAGTCTACCCATAAAGTGTCACCCGTCACTCTAGTCTACCCATAACGTGTCACCCGTCACTCTAGTCTACCCATAAAGTGTCACCCGTCACCTCTAGTCTACCCATAAAATGTCACCCATTACCACTCGTGTCTACCCAAAATTCAATTTAAAAAAAAGAATCCACAATGTATTTATATTTTTTTAATGAAAATATCTTCCTGGAAGAAAAATTTCCCGATTGAGTCCATTTATGGGGAAAATTTCAGCAATGGTTTCCTACTGTGGGGAACAAATTCCACAAATGGTTCCCTTCTTTGGAAAAAATAAGAATGAACTCATCTGGAAAGGAAAAAAAATCCACAGTGAAGGGGAAAATTTTCAAATGGACTTGTATGGAAAATAGGGTCTTATTAGACTCGATATGAAAAAATAAATTAAACTGGTATTCATGAGGAAAATTCATCACCTAAGTGGGGACTCACCTGCCAGACTCACCTAAGTGGGGACTCACCTGCCAGACTCACCTAAGTGGGGACTCACCTGCCAGACTCACCTAAGTGGGGACTCACCTGCCAGATTCACCTAAGTGGGGACTCACCTGCCAGACTCACCTAAGTGGGGACTCACCTGCCAGACTCACCTAAGTGGGGACTCACCTGCCAGACTCACCTAAGTGGGGACTCACCTGCCTGAGTGGGGTCTCACCTACTTGAGTAGGGACTCACCTACCTGAGTGGGGACTCACCTACTTGAGTGAGGACTCACCTGAGTGAGGACTCACCTACCTGAGTGGGGACCTCACCTACCTGAGTGGAGACTCACCTACCAGAGTGGGGACTCACCTACCTGAGTGGGGACTCACCCGCCTGAGTGGGGACTCACCCGCCTGAGTGGGGACTCACCTACCTGAGTGGGGACTCACCTGCCTGAGTGGGGACTCACCTGCCTGAGTGGGGACTCACCTGGAGACTCACCTACCTGAGTGGGGACTCACCTACCTGAGTGGGGACTTACCTACCTGAGTGGGGACTCGCCCGCCTGAGTGGGGACTCACCCGCCTGAGTGGGGACTCACCTGCCTGAGTGGGGACTCACCTGCCTGAGTGGGGACTCACCTATCTGGGTGAGGACTCACCTACATGAGTGGGGACTCACCTACCTGAGTGGGGACTCACCTACCTGAGTGGGGACTCACCTGGAGACTCACCTGAGTGAGAACTCACCTGGAGACTCACCTTCCTGAGTGGGGACTCACCTACTTGAGTAGGGACTCACCTGCCTGAGTGGGGACTCACCTGCCTGAGTGGGGACTCACCTGCCTGAGTGGGGACTCACCTGCCTGAGTGGGGACTCACCTGCCTGAGTGGGGACTCACCTACTTGAGTGAAGACTCATCTACCTGAGTGGGGACTCACCTGAGTGGGGACTCACCTGAGTGGGGACTCACCTGAGTGGGGACTCACCTGAGTGGGGACTCACCTGAGTGGGGACTCACCTGGAGACTCACCTGCCTGAGTGGGGACTCACCTGCCTGAGTGGGGACTCACCAGAGTGGGGACTCACGTGAGTAGGGACTCACCTGGAGACTCACCTGAGTGGAGACTCACCTGCCAGACACACCAGGATGGTAGCCACACTCCTGCTCCTCATCTTCATATCCACCAAGCAGACAGTGAGTCTATCACGATGAGTACACAAGCAAGGCTCAGCGCTCAGGCTTAATCCCGACGCTAATATTTGCTCAGCTTATGGAGCACACAAGACCGTCAGTGTGGACAGGACCGTCAGTGTGGACGGGGCCAGACGGTACGTGCACTGAGGGTGAGTTCGTACTCAATGAGAAGACGGGAGAGACAGCGTCCGTCGAAGACAGTTAAGGCGAACTGGGGAAACTTAGTACATTTGTAGGACTTTGACATCAGTTAGTAAGCGACTGTTGACAGGCGAGATGAGGTCAGATTAACAGGGATGCCCCGTGGGAGACGTCAGAGAGATGACAGCCTCCCAAATGTATCTTGCAGCAGTTTGACGTCACTAATCAACGCCTCAGTTAGACGTCATAGTTACTGCATGAAGTTAGTCTTCGCCCAGACTGTGCTGTGAGCTTCACAAAACAGCTGTGTTCTCCAACAGCACACACATGTTCTCTCTTCCCCTCTCCTCCTTTTGTTTGGGACGTTCGTAGAGCAAAATGGAACGTTTGGAGGACTGGTGTCGTGGATTAGACGCCGGGGACGCTGGTGCTTGGGGCTTGTGCAAGCGGTGTGCACTCGACGGCGTCTCGGGCCACACTGAGCCTGCTCCAGTCGCTGGGGCTTAGGCTCCTCCCTCTGTCCCCTATCCCTTCCTCCCTCTCTATACCCTCCTCCCTCTCCTCTATCCCTAAATCTGTCCTTCCCTAAGTCATCCCATCCAAGAAACTCCCCAAAATCTTCCCACTAAAATCAAACTCCTTCCTCCCTGAAATTTCTTCATTTTTTCCTTATCTTTTTAAATTTTTGCGTTTTTTTCTTTAATATGTTCTTTGCCCACCAGGCCGGGGGACGACGCCGGGTTAAGAACGACAAGAAACGCAGCGAGGGATTTACCAGTCGACCAATAAACGTGATTTTTACTCAAGAGCTTACACACAAAATCCCTGAAACGCATTACGCTAAAAATAATAATAAATTATTATTATTATTATTATTAATATTGTGTGCCTGGGAACACCTAGCGCACAGGTTCGAATCCTCATCACTGTTCCTAAAAATTTCCTCAATAATAATAATAATAATAATACAGAAATCACACTAATATGATATATAACACTGAGACAATCCACCAGGGCTGTGAGGTGAGCTCGAACCATCGACCCAGGCATTGCCAGGCGGTGGTCCAGTGGTAGAGTATGCGACTGGTCAAAGGTTCGAGCCCACATCACAGTCCTAGTGAATTTTTTCAACAATAATTCAGATTCAGATTCAGATTCAGATTCAGATGTTTATTCAGGTAAGGTATATACATACAAGTGATGTTACATTAATGGATTGATATATAGATAGAGCTAGTACATACAATGCCTAAAGCCACTATTACGCAATGCGTTTCGGGCAAATTAATAATACTATTTTATTTACAAAAAAGTACAGAGGATACAAAATACAAAAATAAAATACAAAATACAAAAATAAAATGTTATGGGATTATAGAAGATGGGGTGTAAGTCGTTTCTGAAACTTTGACACAAACTAAACAAATTATTTAACTGTTTTCTCATCATATAAAGTGAGTTCAATAATAAAGCGAAAAATAAAGTTTACTCATGAGGGCTCCGTGAGGAGTTGGACCTTACGTATATATGAGTATCGTAAACACTCAACTCATTGTCTAGTGGGTGTGTGTTGCATACCTGTGTACCTTCTAAAGCTCACAAGCAATCCAGCTGGAACGGCCTCATTGTTAACTAAGCAGCTGCAACAACACATGACACTGCTCGTCTTAGAGCTATAGCAGCTCCTCATGCAGGTGACTTCCTTTTATTCCAAATCGTCTGAATATCGTCTTCTAGGTTGAGGGGTCCCTACAAACGCAACCAGAGGTGGTACCCTCTATCTATCTATCTATATATGTGTGTGTGTGCGTATGTGTGTGAGAGAGAGAGAGAGAGAGAGAGATGGAACCTGGCCCAGACCAGGATCCTCACACAAGGAAAGATTAACAAATTCACAAATCGTCATATAATTTGCAAATCCTCAAAATCCTATATTACATTTAGTTTGGCTTCGTGATTCACAGGTCCGGTTTCAATCCCCTCAAGGCTCATTTCTACCAACTGGAAATAGCCACGACATTGTTGATTTACAACGTAAATAATGTGAATTGCAGCAGCAGATGTCTTGGTGCTTCACCGTGAGATCAAATCTTGGGTTATCGTGGCTGAGTGGGCTATGGCAAGTGTCTGGGAGGTGCTAGAACGCTGGTTCGAATCACCGCATTGCGCCAAATGATTTTTTTTCTCACTGATATTATCACTCCATTTTTTTTGCTTATCGAGTGGCAGTTACCGTGTGAAACCCTCCATATTGTAAGTGGCCACGCCTGGTCCATACAAACGATCTCTACAATACCCCCTTACCCTGAGGTGGCTCCGAGGTTCAATGTCCCCGTGGCCCGGTCTCTGATCAGACCTCCTGGTTGGTGGTTTGGTTAACCAGGCTGTTAGACCAGCTTCTTCTCTTCATTTACCACTTTCTAAGGAGCGTACGAACCCAAGCACCCCACCTAACCAATCGACGCCAATACATAGAAAACGTAGATATTTGTGAGACGTAACTATCCATAGAAGGCTGCATTTGTAACGTTGTCTACTATTACGTAAGAAACGCGATCTATTAGCTGAGAGAACATGCGGGTTAACGACACCGGTGTCCGCGGTATGAATCACAGGCCAGTTAATCAGCAACCCGTTCTCGCACTTGCTTATAGTCAATATCTTGCTTATGAATAAGTGCATATGTGACATACTAATTTATTGTGAATATTTGACTTTACCTTGAAAAGTTGAATAGAAAACCATAACCTAACCTAACCTTCTCAGTATGTTAAGATATTACAATTAGTACTGAACCTATACCTATATTGATATTACAGTTTTATAAAATTAATAAAACAAAACTAAAATATTTAAATAAATTGTAAAGTAACTCCGGATATTGTCAAATTTTGTATAAAATTTCTATTGTTTAATAAAAACTGAGAGAAAAAGTTAGTGCCTTGACAAAAATATGGCTAGGAATATGTCACAT